AGAAGATCTCACTTTCGTTCGATACCTTTCATAGTATTCATAGAAAATTAACAATATCCACGTACAAAAGGATTGCGTTTATTTCGTATAAAAATGTAAAAAAAAGATCAGCGTTATATACATAATCATACATCGTTAATATATCTACAAGGAGTATGTACTCTCATTATCCTCATGTCATGTTCCGTGATATGTTTATCATAATCGTTTCACCATCTGTTGTGTGAAATATCTCGCGACGTTCCTCTTTTACTTGTTTTTTTTTTTTTTTGTTTTGTTTTGTTTCTTCTTTTTTTTTTTCTTCTTTCCTTTTTCCCTGGGATGGTTTTCTTTTTTCCTTGTGTTTTCCTTTTTTTTTTTTTTTTGTGTGTTTCGTTTCATTTGTTTTTTCGTATGTGTGTGTAATTTTTTTCCCTTCCTTTTTCCTTTTAATAAAAATATATTTCTCGAACATGGTGATTCGTCATCCTAGAAATGGCCGTCGTTGCCAGGTGCCGTGTATTCCTCACGTGTAACTTTCCTTACGTTTTCTATTTCTAGCTTACAGGACTTTCGCTTTTGCTTCGTTATCCGCATGAAATCATCATCCTCGATTCGATAGTTCGCTCTTGCTCTTTCATATGTACATGCACATATACATACGTTATTACGATTGTATATAATACGTGTAGAGAATAAAAAGAAAAAAGAAAAATAAAAATAAAAAAGAAAGAAAGAAAGAAAGAAAGAAAGAAAGAAAAAGAAAAAGAAAAAGAAAAAGAAAAAAAAAGAAAAAGAACGAAATATAAGGTACAAAATAATATTGACAAATCTCAATGGTCGATGTTATTAATCGATTCAACTTCGAGATTAGATTCTAATCAATGACGTTAAACAGGAGCGATATAGACCGTTAAAGGATAGATTAATTATGATCGATCGTTTAAAATCCAGAAAAGTCATCGGTACTGTCTGAATTGCTTTCGGCAGCATCGACAAAGGCCGTCGATAAATCCCCCGTCATTTTGCTAACCGATTGGGAATTAACATCGTACATGAATATTTCCTTGTCGTTTTTACTTTGATCATTGGACGGCCTGAAAAGAGAAATCTTTCTATAGCTTATTATTCTATTCGATCGTTGAGGGAAAATATGTTTGGTATACTTACATGGTGATTAATAATACAACAGATTGTCTCTGAGGTTCAGTACGAGTTTCCTGTTCCAACCACTTTTTATAATTATCGACGGTAGGTTTTTTAACGAGTTGCTTGAGCGTATCGCCAGCTAAAAATTTAACAGCCTGTATGTCGTCGATCTTTCTGTCCTCCCTAGTCTCAAGACCTTTATCCTTTTCCTGAAAATGATAATCAACAGGCGCTAATACGACCACGCTCGTTATTTTTCGTCCTTTTAGATCGGGCACATCTGGTATAGGAAACGAAGCACCGCTTACTTTAAGCGGTAAATAACGATTGTATTGGTCATGATTTTCCGGACCTATAGTGACCGGTTCGAGTCTGGTCGCGTCAGCACGTATATGTTGCTCGGCCACTGCTCGGCCTTGCTCCGTACTTGGATCGAATCGTACTACTTTCATTTCTACACCACCTGGCCTCAAAGTAGCCTGTTCGATCTTGGTCCTTCCCATGATCGTGCTCTCCATCATTTCCTTATTAGGTGGTTCGTATTTCGATAAAGAAGTAACGCTTTCGGACGTGCCAGAAGAAACGTTGTCTTCATTGGACAATGATATTTCAGGTTTTTTAATAATAGATGGTATTGGCTCGCTCGCTGCCACTGCGGAACCACCTCCAGCACCGTAGAAATTTGCCAATGCCTCGGGCGGTAGTTTCTCGATTGGTATGCCACCGACCTTGTCGTAATCAAGTATTTGTATGTCAGCGTTACCCAAAATACCGGAACTCAAAAGTTGTTCCCTTATATCGTCTGGCACTTCGTCTGGTAAATTTGCAATGTTCTCCTTGATCTTGGCTTCGTTTTTCGGTGAAAGAGTAGTTGTCGTTGGTGCTTCGGTTGTGGTTGTGGTCGTAGTTGTTGTCGTCGTCGTTGTCGTAGTACTGCTAGAAATTGTCGGACCATTTCTGTAGGATATCCTGCCGGTGGGTGATCCGAATTCAGAAGGGATACTAACTGGTGTTGCATAAATCGTTTGGGACTTTTGTACATCATTGTTTGGTGAAGGTGAACGTCCCCAAAAAGATTGTTGTTCCCTTTGACGATGTTGTTGTTGAGTGCTTACGGATGGTGTCAATGACAGTTGCGTCTGTTGATGTCCTAACGAATCAGAATTGAACGTTAAATGTCGATGACCCGAGGGAACTTGTTGATTTTCAATTTGTTGTTGTATCTGTCGTGGTACTTCGTCGTTTAAAACTCGATTCGATTGACCTCCCGCGATTTGTCGGGAATCCTGTAAAGTGTTTAATTGATGCGTTGCCTGGTACTGATTCAACGAACTTTCTGGAAATTGTACTGTATTTGGTGGGAACGGCCCTG